TAAGCACCAGCAATGAACACTCTCCTTTTGTTAAATTACTGATATATTAATTGCTAGCTATTCTGGATGCTGCAATTGTATTTTTCATGTGTGTTTAGTGCCTTCTGTTGCTGCCTGCCTAAGATACTGTGGGCAGCTCTTACGTCTGATGCTTTGTTTTAGTTGCCTGGCTACTGTAAAATGTTATCTTAGCTTTTGCTGCGGTGTCACAGATGCTTTCTTGATGACTGTCCAAACAAGGAAATATGTAAAAGATGCTGGTAAATGCTGTGCCTGTCTAGTTCTGCTGCTTTTGCTAGAGCTGTTACAGTACACTTACTTTGCTTTGCTATTATAAACTATCTGCAAAATAACGTAGAAGGTAGACTGAAACCCTTCAGGTACAAAGTGGGGCCCTGGTCAGTGCCACAGGTAATATTGGCTCTATCGTTGTATGCGAAGGAACTGTTGTTTGAAGGAGGTGGTGGGCATCTGCTTCGCTTCATTGCAATGCGTTCTTTTCTGGTGATTGCTACTATGAAAACTGATTTTTCCTGTTGCCTGTCATGCCAGACTTGTCCTTCCCCTCTCTCCATGTGAACCAAACTACTCCCAGCAGAGTGAAAGTCAAGACTCAAAACTTAATTGGGGTGTTGACTCGAAACCTCTTCCATGCCAAAACCAACAGTAACCGATATTTCTTGTGCTCTCTACATGTTCTGTTTATGCCTGCATAACTTTATCTCTTTACTTCACCAGCACTTCTGATTAAATTGTTTTCTTGTACTCACAGTATGAAACCTCTTCTAAAGTCTGTGGATAAGTCATGATTCCTTCCAGTCAGACCAACAATATTTTGTCAGCAAATAAAAAAAAAGTTACACTTAACAGCTGCTTTACTTTTTTTTTTTTTTTGATGTCAATGCAATCCTTTTCTTAATTATTCTTGCCTTTTGGCAGTCATGGTGCACTAATATTTGCAAGATGAGATATAGTTTTCTGTTTATATTAGCAGTCCTCTGTCTGTGAGATATGGACCAACCAGAATGCAGGATATCCTTTCTCATCGATTCATCAGGTTCATAATGTAAGATACAGTGATAAATGGCTATGTTGTCACTCTATGGATGTACAGTCTGTTGCCATGGTGTTATCTACGGGTGTCATGTTGTTGGAATTACAAAACAGTTTGTAATGTCCGCTCTCTTCTGGGGTTATATGTACATACATCCATGTATCGTGGCATGTGATGAGCATATGTTGGCCGTGTGCTGCACCCCCAGGAAGGGAGGGGATTTTCGGTGGCCGCCTTGCTCAGTGGGAGCTTTGACTTCTGTTCCCGATTTTTGTGTTTGCTCACTATTTCAAAGCGCGAAACAGTGTAAACAGCTCAGTTTGCACAGTTTCACCCCCACAATGTGTTGTGCAGCCCCTTCTGTGTTACTCCTGTAGGCTCTGTCTAGCTGAGGAACGTGCCGTGTTTGCCAAGGCAGGAAGGCATTTGGGGGCGATTAGAGGTAACCCTGATGGTGCCCTGAAAATTCATAACTTGTGTGACGAAAGTTATATTTGCCATTCAAGTGACAGCAAAGCTGGCTATCTGTATTGCACCATGATAGGAACTCTGTCAATAGTTACATTTCTCTAGGCATAGTACTTAAGGAGGTCTGTAAACTCCTTTTAATATCCGGCATATGACTGCCTTCTTGGATTATTTCTTTTAGAGAGGCCATTTTGGCTCCTGAGCTTTAGAATCTGTTGAAGCGTTAAGTACACCAAGAACCTGTTACCATTATTTCAGAAAACCAAGATGTGAGGAGCGAAGACCATTTCTCTCATAATAGCAGGAATTAAAAAGAAAAAAAAAAAAAAAGAGGCAAGGAATTAGGATTTGGCTGGTCCGTACAACAGTGAAAAGTCTTACGGGGAGAAAATTATTAATTTTTCAGCCAAAAGCGTCGTATCTATGCGTGCTCCAATTTATTGTTGTCATGGTAACTAATGCATCTTACCATAACTAGGCATGAGGCTTTAACAGGTGCAAAGTTATAAGATGTAGCCCTTGTTAAAGACTGAATACATTCAAGCTACTCGAAACCAGGCCTATTTCTTGTATGTCCTGGAGGTTTTTTAGCCTGACGTTTTTATAAAGAGATTAGGAGCGTGTTAGATTTTATGAAAGCTGTACTAAGATGACTTCTCACATCTGGCTGCCTCCGCGTCCAGATGCCTGTAAAGTTAGTCAGCTACGGCTCTCCGAGAGTGAGGTGGATTAAGCTAGCGCACGTGCGACGATTCTAAAAGTGACCTAATACTCTGCCTCCGTAGCTCGTTTAACATCACCTGTCGGACACCTTTCTAGAGGCACTGCCCGTTTTCAGGGTTATGAAGCACTGTAAGTACATGAGATATTATTGGTCTTTAAGGCTGTGCCCGCTATGGTTAAAAATTGTCCGTGTGAAAGGATTGACTCTTTTCCGTTCTGACTCTTGGTTTGAGGCAGTTGTGTAATGTAAATTCTTTATCTTCAGAGTGCAGAGCAAAAAAGTTTGTTTGTTTGTTTGTTTGTTTTTTTCTCAGGGTGCTTTAGGCCAGAGGGAAGGAAAACACTGGTTAAAGGTGGAGGGGAAGTTAGAATGCTAGAACACAGGCAGCATAGCAGAAACGGCGTGACAAATTGCACAGGTATCTGATGAGCTGTAAAGTTGGATGAGGAACAAATTTCTCTCTTGCCCTTCCACTTCATCTGACTGATAGATAAAAGCTCCCTATGCGTTCTGTGTCGTAATAAATGCGTAAGCTTAAATGTTTGATTATTTCTTGCAGTTTCAAATAGAATAGTCAAACCAGAAAATCTCGATCATACCATGTGTACTTTTAAAAGCTAAACCAAATATCGTACTTGCTCCTGTACTGCAGTTTACAAACATTTCCATAGTGCCTGAAAGCGCTCTAGATATTTATGAAGGGCCTGAATCTCCATATATCAGCCATCACTTAGTTCCAAACTGGTTCCTCAGATTCGAAACTACTAATAATTCATATTTTTCTACCCTCGACTTAACTGTCCTCTCAGGTCTTTCCTAGCTTAAGGAGATGTTCCTACCGCTTTGCATTTTAACTGGAGTTAATTGCCATCATCACATACATACTCATAATTTTCTTAAATCTCAGCATTTTAGTATCTGACTGGAGTGAGTCAGCTGGAGAGCTCCTTTTTTCCTTTAGAGGTTTTTAGGCCCAGATTTATGAAAGTATTTAGGTGTCTAAATCTCGTTTAAAGGCTTTTCTTCCCCTTCAAAAAAAAATTGGATGGGGAATATGTAATAGGAATTAGACTTCTAAATATCGTCATGGATCTGGGCTTTGGAGACTTCCCTGCTATAATTCAGACTAAATAGATAATGAATAGGGGCGATAGCATGGTTTGAAAACGTAAGGAGTTCTGTAAGAAACAAACAAAAGGAAATGAGACGAGAAACCACTTCTACTGAATAGTAAGAAACACTTACAATATAATTACAAAATAGAATTTTATGACTCTGTATAACACATCTCCTGCTTCATCCATCATCATAATCTATACCTATGAGGTTTCATTTTTATGCAGCTTTCCTTAATAACTGCTCCCTCTGCAAGACACACTGAAGTACATGAAAGGTCTTCAGCTGCAACTGCCAGATACAGAAATTCTGTATCTCTACATTCCCTTAATTTCAGCTCTATTGCATATTTAGATCTTCCAAGAGAGACGTATAATAATCTTATCAATTCTGTTTTGTTTAATCTAAACAAAATACAGTCTTTACTTGGATGATTTTGTATATTAATAGAGTAATTAATGAATACAAATGAATGGTCTCTGCAGAATCCCTCTCTAAGTGTGTCATATTCTAGCTTTATTAGTCTGGTTGAAGATTACTTCTCATTTCCTTATGATTGTTGCTTCCTAGCTCCTTTATAAAATAGAGCCAATATGAAAGGTGATCGCTGTTTCTCTTGCTACTGCTCTCTGTTTGCAAACAGAACCGATGCAGTTGTTCATGTTTTTAAATCCCGCTATTAATATCTTTCATGCAGAAGTGAGTCAAACCGTAAAATGACATATTCGTTTTATTCCTTAGGTGCCCCTCTTAATTTGTCTGTACTATCCATTTTCCATGTTTGAGGAAAGTCATCCGTAAAACCAGTGCAACAGAAAGGCATGGAGCACTACCCAGAGTCACTTTTTCTGTAGAAGTTGTGCTCCTACCTCACAAAGATCCCCAGTCTTCCAGGATGGGAAGACCAGTGGTCAAAAGATGTACTTTTCTAGCTTCTTTACCCTGAATTTACTCCTCTTCCATTGTAACATCCTTTTGCTAAATAGATAGGATGTACCTCCTGAGATCAGTTTCCTTACAGAGAATGTACAGAAGTGTATCTTTCCTAGAAAAAAAGACTATTTCAAGTGTTCTGTTAGCTAGGGCCCTTGAACAGTTTACAACAGGCATGCTGTGAAAATGTGCAACGGGTGCATTTCAACTTCTCTTGTAGTCAAATATAAACTCCACTATTGAGGTTTCATATCCTTATCCCTTTTAATATGATTGCATACATATTTTATAAGGAGAACTACTTCTTGAAAAAATCAGATTCTTACTTCAGATTAAATACAATGAATGGTTTTATAAATTAGAGGTCAAAAGGATTCATTTCTATGGACATAGAATGCCAGAAATTGGAGCAATTGCTGCTGCTGCTTTCCTTCCAAAATTTGAGGTTCAAGTCATATCTATAGCATATAGACAACTTAATTAGGCAAAACAAAAATTACAATACTGCATAATTTGTAGATGAGTTAATAGTGTCAGCATTAAGGAGGTTTGACTTGTTTTATGATGTTCACTTGCTTGAAGTTACCGTATTGGCAAGATAATGTTGATGTTTCCAGATTTATCTCTTGCTTTTCATTGCAGAGTTGTGCAAATGTGTGTCATTTCATTATTTTGTGACACATGAAAATGATGTACTTGTTTTGTTTACTCTGTCCTGGTTTAATTAGTAGGATGTGATAGTTTGCCAGACTTTGAATGTCTTTAGTAAGAATTTTTTCATGTGTTTTTGATGCTTAACTTTTTCTCACTTTAAAAATCCTAAACTCTAGCCATATTCTATGTGAAATACTGATGCCAGTTTCAACACAAATTTTAATAACATTGCACACATAGAAAATGCTGAGAGATATGTGCAAATAAAGAAAGTAGGGTAATCCAATTTGAAATAATCACATAGGAGAGTAAAACAGTTTGAGGGAGAACGAGGAAGGGAGAAAGGAAGATAAGCAAAGAGAAATCTGATCCTCAGAAGGCAGAGTGGGAGGGCAAGGGGAAGTCTGAGACAGAGCAGACTCTCAGAGGGTAGAGGGGAGTGGGGCCAGTGACAGAGCGAAGAGGAGGGAGAGTCCATCCACAGATCATCTTTGGTTAGAGGGAGCTTGAGTTGGTTTGGCAGCCCCCCTGGTGCCTGTGGTTCAAAGAAATATGTTTTAGAAAAGGGGATGGGGAGCACGGACACGTGTGAGCCGAAAGTGAGAGACATCACAGATAAAAAGTACATGACCTCAAAATAGTAGTTGTCCCTATGAGCCTGCAAGGTAAAAGGAGCCCTGAAGGGCCCAAAGGTCAGTGCAGATCCAATGAAATCGTGTCTGAAATACACACCGACAGATGAGAGAGCCAGACCAGCACAGCCATGGGATTCCTGTACAGGTGTCTGTGGTGACTCTTTTTCGAAGGGGGCAGAGTATCCTGGGAAGGGTTCGACCACAAACTGCAGTCCTACCATGTTCTTTAGGGGTTTGAGGAAAGGGGGGAGATGACAGCTCTAGGAAGACAATCATTCACGTCAAGGAGGATGATGAATGTGTAATGGCAATGTTAGTAGCTCCACAATGAGACGTCAAGAGAAGGTGATCAAAGTAAATATTCATAAAGAGATTAAAGAATGCCTTATGTGTTTGAAGAATGTATAATAAGTCTTTAGATCAAAGCAAGGTCTCAGTTATTTAGCCGTTTAGAAAAGTTAGTTAACAGTTATATAGGCTGGATAATGGAATTGTGGCGAAAAGCTTGTAAAACGCATAGAGGAATTTGTGAATGGCATTTTTGTGCATCTCGTGATTTTTTCCAAGTGCTCTCATCCTCATACATGTATTGTAAACAGTCATTTTTAAGGAATATTTCAGGTGCCTAATAATTTTATTCTAAAAGTAAATTGATTTAATTAAAGCATCATTAAACACTACAGTAGATGACTTTGGATTATAAATTAAATAATGAAAAATGCCGTAGAATTTATAGTCCCTTATTTTAGTTACATGGCTCTATGCATAGAAAAAACATTACTGTTAACTGAGCATGGCAGTGGAGGGTACTTTGTAGCAAATTTGCCTGCAACTTTTTATGTACCTTGAATAATTGTGATTTTCAGACTGGAGACTGGGGAGAGCCTTCAATTACCTTGCGACCTCCAAATGAAGCCACAGCATCAACACCTGTACAGTACTGGCAACATCATCCAGAGAAACTCATCTTCCAATCATGTGATTATAAAGCATTTGTAAGTGTTGATAAATTTAGTGGATTGATTTGGAGTAGATCACAGTAATCTTAAATAGCAATCTTACCATAGTAATCTTAAATTTTATGGAGTGGGATTTTTTTAATTTGTAATATTTTGTAATATTTGTAATATTTTGTCAGTCACTTTTAATGAGACAGACCACTTCCTCAGAAATAATGTGATCTTAATAAATAAGAAACAAACATGCGCAGAGAATTCCTCCTGTATTGCAGCCCATGTAGTGATTAGAGAAATGACACTATCAATAAGTGCTGTGGAAGTGACAGTGAAAGCAGAAACTCCTATCTCTTAGCCTTCGCATACACCAGTCTAGTATTAGGAGATGTTTATAGAAAAGCAGTAAAATATAAGATGGGCTCCTTGTGCCTACCTTAATGATTAATATACAGCATTTAATGTAAGCCTTGCTTTGCCTGAATTTTAGTCACCTAGTTTTGGGGAAAGGAGCTAGGGAAGATGTAGGTCATGATCCTAAAGCGATGTTTCCAATCCATGGGGCAAGGGCACACTGAAAACTCTCCCAGACTGATGACTGCTTGAGGTACCAGTAGCAGTATTCAGGGCATGGAGCTTTTATACCTCCCGGTAGCTGTAACTGATTCCCACTTCTCGTCTCTGAAGAAACTGAACTTCTCTCCACAGCGAAAAGTAATTGGTGTTCTTTGTCTGCTATAAACACTTGTGAAGGAGAGGAAAGTCTCCTGAAGTACAAAAAGTTAGCCTGGAAGACATTTTTTTAAATGAAAAACACTTTTCTGAAGTAAGCCCGGAGTACACTGTGCAGTCAATGGCAAGGGGCTGGTCCTTCTGAGTATCTCATGAGGTGAGTCCAGTGACTCAGCCCATCTATTTAAACAGTTAGTTACATTTTTCCTTCTGACTTTGCTGGAAACCACTGTTCAGGTTGACAAATGTTCTGCCATCCACTTGGGATCCAGACCACCTCGTTCTCTTCAGAGGCAGGCACTTCTTGAAGCAAGACTGACTATTTTAAAAAAGAAAATTTGCAGAGCCTTTAGCATAATAGCTGGAGGTTAAATCACTTCTCCAGGATATGGGTTCCTCTTCAGCTGGAGGGGCTTAGGGTCCCTAAGCACATTTTAGGTAATGCTCTGTTCAGCAGAAACTAGGGCGTTCTTTGGAGAGCTGGGGGCTGCTGAGCCTGAGTTATAGCGTACCCAGAAAGGCAGGACTTAGGGACGAAATAAGTACAGGTATGACAGAGCCTGGCTTCTACTCAGTAGGGGACAGAAAGGATACTGGCCTGGCTCCCCAGAGCGTGTCTGTATCTTCCATTAGACCTTCACAGGGTAGAAAGTGTCATGAATGCAGTAATCGTCCTTGCACGGTAACTAGACCCTCCCGCCTTCCACAGCAAGGCAAGTTTCAGCTTGCTTGTTCTCAGTTCAAGTCCCAGTGGTCCTCCTATGCAGTGTCTCTGATTCAAAGGGAAGCTTCACCACTTCTAGTTTTTTAAATATTTTTCGTACTTTTCTGTATAATGAACAGGTTTAACCTCAGCGTGCCTCTTATCTTACTATTTGATCCAGCAATAAATTCCCAATCGGCGGTAACCTTTGCACAAGATTGAAAAGTGTGTTGATCATTGATTATGACTACAGCCCTGTGCAGAGATGGAAGCTGGGATGAACAGGATAGAGATATTTTCAAAATATCCAAGTTACTGTTTTTTAAAGAAATATCTTTCTATCCTAAAGACTGTGTGTTAGTGCAGAGTCTCAGCTCCAGGATCTATTATGACCTCAGTTATAGAGTAAAATAGTGGCATAGAAGATGTGAGGCATGGCAGTTTTCATTGTATGAAAGCTCATACAGCTCAACAACTCAGCCGATGAACTGTTGGATGTCCTCTGTATTCCTCCCACATTCTCCAGGTCTTTGAGAAGGAACATTTCTGAGAGCACAACAAGTCTGAGGGTAGCAAAATTCCCTCCTAGGAATTCACATTTTTCTGACAACTTAATCAGGCAGTATGTTTGTGATTTGTTTGTTTATTCCACAGTCCACCCTGGGAAGCATTTCTGAATGCCTAGAGCTGAGATTTTTCGCTGCTGTGCAGAAGGGACAGGAGTTTCTCTTTCTTCCTCCTGTTCTGCCATGAGCGCAAAAGCACTGCTTTTGTCTCTGATGCCTGCCCAGCTGGTAGCTTTCATGGAAATATTAAGTTGTTGAGCCATAGTCTAGTAACATTTCAAGAACAGAATTGCTTTCTTCCCAGAGAAGGCCAATGGTGCCAAAGGTGTCACGCGACAAAGGACCCAGAGAAAGATACAGTTCAACTCAATATGTTGTTGTTTAATTTTCTAATTTCAGAGCTTGCTCTAAATTGCATGTTCTTCTGTAAGGGTGATGTCAAACCATCCTGTCAAATTAATGCCCAAAGCCCTATTCATGTCATCATCAAGCCTCCAGCTGGACTCGCAGCTGTTTGGTTTAAGAAATAGTTGCATTGGTGTTGCTCACTCTCTGTTTATAATGCCGTGTGTGGTGATTCTCAGTAGCTACTCTGTTGGCTACTGTCTGCATTGAAATATTTATACATTTTCTTGCAGGTCAAAGATTCCTGAGACTGTGAACTGAAGGCTTGAAACACAGTCTCTCAGTCTAGGTCAGGAAACCAGGGAGCTGAATGAGTACACTTTCTGTTCAGTTCCAGTTTGCTTTCAGCCATAACTGGTTGTTTTTGACCAGTTCTCATTTAAGATGATACCAGTTCACTGCCTGGTTTGAATAGCTTACACTGTTTTCAAGATGCATTGGTGTGTTAGAATAGAAAAGGTCACCTAATCGTGGTGGGCTCCAGCATCCTCTGGGACGAGGATCCTGCCGACACTGCTTTTTTTAATTGCTCACCCATCCCATTCTCACCAGTGGCATGACTTTTCTTCAGCTCCCATGTTGCTCGCATAGGATTGAGAACTTTAGCGATGTCATGGCATTGCACTGCAGTGAGAATGCAAAGAGACATTTCTGCGCGATAGCAACAAGTGCACATCTGCAAATACGTACACCTGTAGCGTAAACAGGAAAAGTGCTGGGCGTTCAGAGTGCTTGCACAACCCTGCTGACGGTAACAAGACCCCTCTCTCCTAGGAGAGGAAGGCAGTGAAGATGTAGCCAGCTTCCTCTTGGTAGGGGCGGCTCCGTTCGCACTGAGCATAAAGAAGTCCTGAATCTCCAAAGTAACAAATCCAGGGCACGTAGCCTGCTGCCAGTGCGCAGAAGTGCAGGCTCAAGCCACGCACGCTCGTGAGTCACGGGGTGGGGAAGAGGCAGGTGGGAAGGAGGGGGCATCAGTGAGACACTGCCTTGCGTACCCCACGGGTGAACACACTCCTCTTGGAGGATGGTGGCTTTCAGCAGCTGTTGATACTGAGCCAGGACCCAGAATCAGCGTCTGCCGCCGTCTTTTACTCAGTCCCAGTTCAGATTCAACAAAGGCTTCAAAGTAATATCTCAGTCTTTGAGCAGAAATAATGGTTTGAACTAGTTTTCAGTTCACATTTAGTTTCTCTGTTTGCTCACGTCAGGCTCTGTTTGCTATTTGTGCGTAAAGTAATTACAGATTGGGTACACAGAGGTTAACATCTCTGCTGCCCTTCACATCCGTGTGATTGTATACATAGCAGTATGGGTTTGGCAGATGGCTGCTAAGAAAAAAAAAGCTTCGATTTTTATGGAAAAAAATGACATTTTGAAAGTGGAATCAGTAGTATTTCTTCTTGTTTGAGTGACTAAAACGATAAGCTAGAATACTTTCAGGGCTCCATCTAAATTAATACATTAATTGCTGTGCATTCCTGTTCCATGTAGAGTGTTGATTAAAACTCACCATTTTAAATGATCTCCCAGAGAACTGCAGAGTAAAAAAACCTCTAAAATCACAAAATATTAGGTTGTTGGCTACCACTCTAATTATTAGGGGTTTTTAGTGCTTTTTTGGAGATGTATGTTTCTTCTGGAGTTTTAGCTCATGAAGTTTAATGGATTTTTATTTTAGTATTTAGGTTCTATGCTGGTAAAGGAGTTAAGAGGCACAGAGTCAACACAGGATGCTTGTGCAAAGATGAGGGTAAGTTAGCAAATCTAATCCCTTCTCTAATCATCATCATAGTAGCTAGTTGTTACTTGTGCTGTGTCCTTTTTTTGCGTTTCTAATGTTCTTTTATCCATTTCTTTTCCACTGCCCTTGCATTTACACTGGTATTGAGTATGAAGTCTGTTCAGCCTTTCATCTTAATTTACAGTAATACCAAAGTTTTAAGGTAGATTTTTATTTTACATGTTGTGGCTAAGAAAAAGTAAATGCATGCATTATGTCTTGTGTTTTCTCTTGAATCTTTGGAACTGTTTCAAAGTACTTTACGCAAACTTTAAATGTGCCCTTTTTTTTTTTTTAATAAACAGAACTAATTTATGGCTCATATGAAAATATGTATTTACTACAAAAAATACATACTAGTAAATACAATAACATGTTACTGAAGTCATTGTTTCCTTATTTAGAGCCAAATCCTGTGGTCACTTAATCATGTGGATGCCTTTACTCACATGAGTATTTCCATTTATTATGAGTTACATATTTTTTTATTGATTGAAGGATGAAAGGTGAACAAATTCAATTTATCTGTTAGTGGAAAAACAGTCAATTTTTCTCTTCAGACAGGTCAGAATATGCTATTGTATATGTTTCAGCCTCATATTGATTTGTACAAAATTATTATGAGGCTCAGTCTATTTCCAAGAAACACAAAACAAGCAACAGGCCTGCCCTACAATATATTTTCAATTGTAATTGTAATAACACTCCTTTTCATAGTGATGGAGAACATTTCATGGTCTGGCATGATTAATTAATGAAGAATATGACTGTATGGTGATCTACTGAAGATGAAATGTAGGATAGATGAATGAGTGAAATCCATTCATTGCTTTATGGACCATAAGTCTTTTAAGCAGGATACCTCTGAGCACTAGACATAGCATTTGGATCAGTCATAAAGCTAGAAGATGTGTAAAATTCATGCAGACAATCATTTCCTGTTGGTTACATATCTACAGTACACAGACTTTTGCACAAGCTGTGTTAGCTAAGGGCTGGCAGTAATTCATGAGTACTGCATTGCCATGAAATCTGTGGCTTTTCAGCTGATTGCATGCTAATCATTCCTTACCTGGGCTTAAACGTCTCTAAAAAAAAAAAAAATCAAACCTCATCAACTTGACACATAAGGGATCTGCACTCACATACATGTGTTCTGGGGGATTGAGGCTCTTAATCTACTTATGTAAGTATACTACACTATACATCTTCCATTCCAGTTTTCAAGCTGTCCAACTTAGCACTTCAGTTTTTTAGGAATGTGCCTACGCAGATATCAGAGCAGAATTTGACACCATAGTAATATACATCATCTTCAGTAAATTATTTGAATGAATTGCAAGTTTAACATCAAAAAATTGCTCTAAATAATTTGTGGAAATTTATTTTTCTAATATGGCATAACTTTGTCAAATTTAAATTACATATCTGAAAAATTGAATGTTTGAAAACAAGTTTAATATAAAATACAATTTTTCCATAAAAATGATAGAGTTACACTAATAGTCTGTAGTGCTGTACAGGACACTTAAATAATATAGTGATATGTTTTTTATATCTATGTCTTAACAGTCTGTTTTGAAACAGTTACGCTGTGAGAATATTTATTTTCCAGTTTAAGAGGTTTTTTGATTGCAAAGATATTTGAATAAAACAGTCCTTAATCAAGATTTCATGTATCCTTTCTATGTAGTCCTTTTAATCATATTCCTATTCAAGTCAGAGACAAAAAAAAACATTGACTTAATGGGAACAGATTATTATCCTAGTATAAGTTTTCTGATGAGAAGAATGTGTCTTTTTTCAAAATTTTCTTCCTGTTTAAGGGTGAACTAATGCGACAGAGCAATTTTGTTAAATTTTAGTCTTTATTTTATTTTCCTATGTGTGTATTTCAAATCTATAATATGTTGAACTTCATGTTATAATCTGAAAGGTGTTGAGGGGAACAAAGCATATATAACCTTGTACCATGCTGAGGTCATTCCCAATGTTTTTCTCTTTCTGGAGTCTGCCAGATACTGTTTTTAAGAAGAATGTGTGAGAAGTAGGTACCTAATTTCTCTGTCATTGTGGCTATTGTTTCTTCACTTTTAACCTAATGCTCTTCAAAAAAGTATTGGTATTCATTGGCTGTCTTCTGATCAGCAGAGGCACAAGGATGAAAGAAGCCCATCAGTGAAAAATAGAACCTTGATCTTCCTTAATTATTCATAGAAATAAAGAAACAACAAATGAAAATGACCTGTTTGCTAACTGATCTAATCTATCCCTGCTGGTAGTGGATTCTTCCTGTACTTTCAGTTATTTGATTTATGGGTTTAATTCCCAAATGAGAAGTGTTATGAGGCTATCCCGCCCCTTTCTCCACCAAAAGACTTGCAGCAGCCTCCTCTGATGGCTTAAGAGCGAAGGGAGAGTCAAAATCTTCTATGGTGTAGAAAAACTGGGAACCTCTGTATTAATAACTCTTCCTGGCTACCCACTGTGCCTCTCAACACTGTGCAGCAGTGTGCTCCGCTGGGCAGATGGTGGATTTGTTTGGCAATTCATGCAGATGCATTAGATTGAGCTCCACATAGGGGTCAAGGTTATATATGCTTTTCATTCTCACCCAAATTGCAGATTATAACTCTTGTAGTCATCCAAAACTATGTATATTTGGCAAGAACTGTACCTATTAGAGGGGTTATACATTTTTCTTCCAATCACATATTTGCACTCCAAGGCTGGATTTATATTTTAAGCTCCCCTATTTGTTTTCATCTATTTTCTCTTATAAACTCCCTCTGCAGTAAATAGCACTGTCTCCTTATCTCCATTCCCCACCTGCTGTTAACTGACCTTTGCTGCTTGGCGATTAAATCTCGCTGTCCTGGCCAGTATAGATTTATTAATTATAACTGAGAGATGCCTTCAAGAACTGAAGAGCTTTCATCTTTCTCAGCGTGGAATAGGAAATATTACAAGTTGTGTTTTCAGTCAGATTACTGCCTTCACTTCAAATCACCATAGGAACAGGAAGCAAGAATAAAATGTGTATACATCAAAATAAAGAAAAGGAAAGAAGTTTAATTGGAGCTAAGAAGAGACTGTTTTCTGCAGTAGAATCCATCTGACATTTACACATGTGAGCTCCTTGACAAGGTAGAAAGGGAACAGTTTTATACTTACTGACATGAGCACAGCAGCAAGGTAGACTATCCTTGCAGTAATGTTGCATAGACAAATTGCATAGTCTGAACCAAGATATTCGCTACAGCAACAGGAAACTTGCATTCAAAGCAAAGATTTTGTTCTCAAACCCAAGTGCCTTCCTGATGTTTTCCTTTTTAGAAAAGGGGTTCTTACATTTCAAGTCAAAGTTCTGGAGAATCAGCAACACGATTCTGTTCACAAAGCCTGTGTTTTAAGTGTCTTGCTGAGTTAAGACTAAAGTGGTAAAATTGGAATTGTCACAGAATCTGCTTCTCTTACCTCTGGAGAGAAAGATGAAGCAGAGTTGACTCTCTCTCCTACAGGAGGAAAAAGTGAAACAGACAGGGTCTGGGACTTTCCTTCCTTCTTACAGAAAGCAGGAGAAGTTGGATGTAGATGGCCATCTCCACGCTTTTGTTCATCCCTTTATGCTTTTCAATTCCATATCTCCCCCAAAAGTGGGAAAGAGAACCAGTACCCTTCATGGGCCTCCCAGTGGAACTAGCCTGGCAAAAGGGAAGGTGTGATGATATTCTAGAAAGTCCGCAGCAGAGTTCTCCTTCTATGCTCAAACTGTATATCCTTTGGTTTGTGACTTCCCCTGGTACAGTGTAAAGATATTGGTTTACATCTGGCAGGAAGAGGAAGAAAAAAGGGGTGGAATAATACTTAACAATGAAGCAAAAGGACATTATTTTTCAGGTGCTTGTATAAGTTGTTCAGCTCAGATTAATTAAATTGGCTTGTGCAGAACAGGATGTCATACTGAGTTTGAATACTCTCACTCGTACAAAAGCTATGAATATTTAAAAACTGAGTGGAGAAAATGGTTGGTAGCTCCAACTCAATTGCACATCAAACACAATGGATAAAGTTCATCCTGTCATCAGATGCTGGATCTGTATGTGGTTTGTCAGGAATAACTGAAGAGTTGTGCAATGTTTATTGAAAAAAAAAAGAAAAACTTTATGAATCAGAATTCAGTGGTGCATCTGATGTACATTTTAAGTGGCCCGACTGTGTTTCATTACTGAAAGTCAAGAAATTCTCTAAGTGAGAAGGAGGTTTGTTAAATATTTGTTTGTTAAATATTGGCTTAAAGATTCCCCCTTCTTTCTAGTTATTGTAGAAAAACAGCCTCTTAATCCTCAGTTCAGTGCCCATCCTCCAAACACCACGCTCAGTGGTTTCTTCCACCTGCTCAGCATGAAAAAGCAGTGAATGCCTCACTTTAAATTGCTTATTAGCAACCTTAAGAAATGCCTGTCTCTTCTCCCCCAGTGTAGTAAGGAGCCTCAGCAGCCAAACACTGGCACTGTCAGTCACGCTCATCATTTGGGCTCCTACTTCTTTTGGTACTGATGTGTCTTAGGTGACCTGTAGTGCCAGGTCAGTATGGTTCCTAGGAAGTAATTGAGGGAAGCATTCCCACAAGACAGGCCTCCCCAGCTATAGTTAAGCCAGAGGACCTTAATGCCACAGAAGACATCAGTTCTTAAAATCTTAAGCTATTTGCTGGAACCAAAACATAGTGACCTTTACTCTGATTGTGGTGGCCATCCTTATCTATCATTTCCAGCCCTTGATATGAAATTGTCCAAAGGGAACAGGCAAAGCTATAGTTTCTAGTGAGAAATGTGGACACTCAGAAAGATCTTAGTTTAGTCCTTATGCCTCAGTGACTCCTCTTTTGACTATGTGCAACTGTATTGCTGTTTTCTGCAGTTGCCAGGATAGGCAAATGCTTTCTTTCAAGGCTTGCTCTGAAGCTA